AACACTGGACAAGACGTCAGTTGGCGATATCAAAATTCTAATGGGCAGGGTGACATGAATGCCAAACTGGGAGGGGACAACACAGGAAGAGAACTAACCATGGGTCGAGAGGCGCTAGGTGAAATGAATGAGAATGGAGAATTGTTTGCAGAATTCTGTGCATTCAACGATTTGGTAATTGGAGGCAGTGTGTTCAGGCACAAAGATATCCACAAAGCGACATGGATTTCACCAGATGGACACACTAAAAATCAAATCGACTTTATCTCAATCTCAAGAAAATGGAGACGCAGTCTACTTAACACAAGGTCAAGAAGAGGAGCAGATGTAGGTCCACACCACTCACTGTCTAGTGCAAGGGACCTACCTTCCAAATCAAGTTAAAAGCCTTCAAGGAAGCTGGTGATAGACCTCAATTCAAGTACAACACTCGGAAACTGAAGGATGAAACTACAAAGGAGATCTTCACGGCAGCCAGCCATCAAGACAAAATGGGAGATATCGAGGAACATCCCTGAAGAAACCTGTGTGGAAGAACACTGGAAGTCTTTGAAAGCTATGTGGAAAGAAACCTGCACAACAGTATTAGGAAGGAAGAAGAAAGAAGACAAGGAATGGATCTCGACGGATACCTGGAAGCTGATAGAGGAGAGGAGGATGGTGAAACAGAAGATAAACCAGTGCAAGGACGCTCAACGACAAGAGGAACTGAACACAATGTATAAAACACTGAACAAAGAAGTAAAGAAGAGTGCACGCAAAGACAAAAGACACTTCTACGAAACACTGACTGGCAAGTGAAGCAGAACAGGCTGCAGGTAAGAGAGACCTGACGACATTGTATCAAATAACCAGGTTGCTATCAGGGAAGAGATCAACACAGATGAAACCAATAAAAGATGAAGGAAATTTAATTACGAAAGAAGAGAAACAGAGGAAACGATGGGCCGACCACTTCAAAAAGCTCTTGAATCGCACCACCACCACCTGCACTTCGTCCAGAAATACCACCTGCAGCCCAGCCGCTGAACTACAAGTGAACATAAATCCTCCAACGAAAATGGAAGTCCTGAACGCCATAAAGCTACTGAAATGTGGGAAAGCAGCAGGACCAGATGGGATCCCGCCAGAAGCACTGAGAACAGACGCAGAGACAACAGCGGACATGCTCACACCACTATTGCAGAAGGTGTGGAAGGAAGAGAAGGTACCTGGCTAGTGATTGGAAGAAGGGTTACCTTGTCAAACTGCCGAAGAAGGGAGACCTCAGTGTTTGCAAGAACTGGCGAGGAATCACTCTCCTGTCCATCCAGAGCAAGCAAAATGTTAAGCCGCATCATCCTGGAGAGGCTTAAAGATGCACTGGATTCGAAACTACGACCGGAACAGGCAGGCTTCAGGAAGTACAAATCATGTGCAGACCAAATTGCAACGCTTCGTATCATCATAGAACAGAGCATAGAATGGCAATCACCTCTCCACCTCAACTTCATCGACTTTGAGAAGGCCTTTGACAGCGTCGACCGAGAAGTAATTTGGAAGCTGCTTCACTACTACGGAGTACCGCAAACCTTTATCAGCCTCATTCAACAACTATATGAAGATGCCACATGCCAAGTAATTCACAATGGGAAGCTCAGTGATGCTTTTGAATTGAAGACAGGAGTGAAACAAGGTTGCCTACTATCCCCCATGATATTCCTTATTGTGGTGGACTGGATCATGCAGCAAACAGTAGGCAGCGAGAAGAGGGGGATACACTGGACGACGGAAAAGAACCTAGAAGACTTGGATTTCGCCGATGACTTATGCCTAATGTCACACAAACTTGAAGATCTACAGGCGAAAACTAACAAGTTGATAGAAGAGGCAGGCATGGCAGCGAAGACGGGACTTCAAGTGAATATAGAGAAGACAGAGGTGATGAAGATACCTCACCACCACCATCAACAACAAACTCCAATCACCGTCAACGGGAGGAACTTAAAGGAAGTAACCTCCTTCACTTATCTAGGAAGCACTGTTTCAACTGCAGGCGGGACGGACGAGGACGTCAAAGTCAGAATCGGAAAAGCAAGACAGGTGTTCATTAGTCTGAAACCAGTGTGGAGATCTTCTGCAATCAGCATGCGGAACAAGATACGGATTTTCAACACCAACGTCAAGTCAGTGCTTCTGTATGGTTGAGAGACTTGGCGCGTTACGAAAGGGATTTCCAATAAACTACAGACATTCATCAATAACTGCTTACGCTCGCTACTGAAGATCAGATGGCCAGAAAGAATAAGCAACAAGGAACTCTGGGAACGAACCAACCAAGAACCTATCGCCCAAAAAATATGCAGAAGGAAGTGGAGATGGATTGGGCATACACTGAGAAGGCCGACAGGGGACATCACGCGTCAGGCCCTCGAGTGGAGCTCCGATGGGAAGCGACGAGTTGGACGTCCGAGGGTGACATGGCGGAGATCGTGCGAGTAGGAAATAAGCGCTTGTAGGCTGTGGTGGAGCCAGGTTCAAAAGATTTCAGAGAACGGAGTTCACTGGAGACGTGCTACTGAAGCCCTATGTTCCACTAGGAACCCAAGGGACTAATAATAATAATAATATATTTGTATAGAGGCTTGCCACATCAAACTGACCATCTTTTCTCCCTCCTCAAAGTGTATATCATATAATCTGTGTTTCAATCCAAATGAATTGGTGAGCCTAGATTTTCAGCGATTTATAATACGACAGAGTATTTTAGTTAAATATGTAGGTAACTCGTATGTTGGTGTGTTTTTAAAGTCAACTATTAGCCTAAAAGGATAACTTCTTTTGTGAACCTTAATGGTATCATATATTCTACGAGGATTATTAGTTTCAGGCATGAAATCAAACTACTGAGACTCATCCAGAGATGACTTCATTCGGCGTATTAGATCAGCTGTGGGCGTTTTAATCATATTCATAACTGTGTCAGCAGGCTTTTTAATCCTCTCATATGGTCGTTTCGATATACTTATTATCTTTTTAAAAGAAGTCCTCCTTATCCATAACCACAGTTAAGTTGCCTCATTAGATTTGGTAGTGAGTATACTACTGTCATTTCTTAATTTTTTCAGCCCAAACATTACTGGCCTCGTTAAGTTCTTCCTTTCTTTTGGTCTTAGTGTCAGTGCACGTGCCTGATCAGCATTTGTTTTATCTATTGACCTTAATGCTACTTCTATGCTGGGTATGACATCTTAAGATTTGAGTTGAGCTACTGTCATGTCGAAGTTTAGTCGTCTCTTGAAAACTCTTACTTCAGTCGAGATAATTCTCTATTTGAGATCCTGATCACACACACTGTTCGATTGATGGTGTCTCATCTGTAACTTCGCTGTTTGTGGGGAATTTACCTCTCACTAGTTTGTTGAACTTTTTAGTTTGAGTCGTTTTGGATTTGTTGTGAGCAGCTGCTTTGGCTTTATTGAATGTTTCAAACAATTTTTAGTCTTTCTGGCTTATTAACCTCCACCAGTCTGTATTTCAGTTGTTCGATTTCATTTTGAATACTGACTAATTTCTTGATAATCCTGTTGAGTTCTCCTGGACATAGTTTCCTGACTTGTTCAACTGCAGCCGATCTGGGTGAACCAGAATAGCAGAACACAAAAATTAAGCGAAATTGTGCAATGGTAGACTCTCCTGCGATAGGTAATTTAGGGAGAAACTCAGCAGGCGTTCTGCATGCATTGACCCATAATCACATTGTAGGATGGGATACGGTGACAATTCTAAAACCCAATATAGCTGGGTGGAGTGAGAGATTGGTCACAGAATCTTTGTCCATTGAGTCAACACCTAGTGCATGTACCAGGAATGATTCATTCCATATTTCATACATCTGGAAAACCCAACTACCTGTAAGATAAAAGAATGAAGAACCGTTGGACTACATAAAAGAAGTTTGAAAGTTGTATGATTACTTTGATATTAATGAGCAATAAATTCTGTTCGAAATGTCATCCAGTAAATGGTGTTGTGTCACTGTGTACTATGTCAGACAAACAATCTATTATGGAATTATCCTCTACCACAATGCCAAAGTTTTTCCCTCACATATTTTTGGTTGGGTCCCGCATACTACTGGAAGCGTGAGGGCAGTTGACATTTCCCAGCTGCCCGTAGCTTGGAGGGATACCTGAAAGAGATTTTTTTTTAACTGCAGAGCCTACAAAACATCTGTTACACAGCCCTTTTAGGATTGCTGTCTGCTCCTACTCCGATTACGACAATTCCATACCACCGGCACTAGACTGCAGAGTAGGGAGAGTCGTGCTAGTTTGGAGGCCGAACTGTCTCAACTTTCCCTTCCCACAGAAAATACATCAGGGTGGCACTGCTGGTTATTCACACGAAAAACCTTGCTGCTGTCACACTCCATCCAGCGAGCAGTTCGACTTCGCTCTTGAACCCATATCATGAGGCTCAAATTAACACCATAACGGTAACTACTTTTTGTCTTACAACTATCCAACAAACCTCTCTAGTAGGGTGGGACTTCGAGCGAACAAAAGTTCCACCAGCATACTTCCATTTTGATACACTAAATACAGTCCATTAAGGTTTTTGAGATTGACGGTGTGCAGTAGTAATACACCCAGAGGATTAGGAAACTAATTGTCATAATGGCTCAAAATTCACCAAATACTTATGTCCACAGAATTATTTTGGTCAGGAAAAGATGCTGAGTATACAAATGCAAACCGAACTAGTTTTAAAAGCAGATCAGAGAAAAACAAATACCTTAGAATTGAACGGCGTCACTACCCAGTCAACAATATCTGAAGGAATTTATCAAACTGCCAATCTTGTTGCTTTGACTTCCAAAACCTTTCTTTATGAATAAAAAAGACCAGTAGGCCAGTTAGTTTTTAGTCACAGAGCAGCAATCGAGTTAAAATATCCCTAAAAACAGGTGATAATGTAAGAACTGAAGTTATAGATTAAGACCTAGTTGGTAAAGGTAGAATATATTTAGTGGGGACAAATATACAATACTTTTCAGATACAAGGACGCTGATTTCCTTCGTGTAGTCACTTTTCTACAGGTAAATCACAGAAAAAGTAAATTCACTCAAGGCAACAAAAGATTTTATTTGACTATACATCTGCATAGAGCTTTCGGCGTTTATTTTTGGTAGAATCACTGGGAGCAGAATTCTTTTTTTTATCAACTCCAGACTTTATTCTTTCAAAGCCACGTTTCCGATGTCCCGTCAGGGCTGTTCGAATCGTGGGTCCAGGTCGTAGATTCTCAAGTTCAGAAGATTTGCCCACATGAACTCGTCCGATTCGGCTACCGAAAACGTCAACATGTTTGTTCTTCGTCACCTTGTCAGCCTTAATAGTTTCCGGCGGTACACGATGTGCCCGTTTCCATTTATCCTGAAGTGCAAGATTAACTCGAACTATTACACTTGTAAAAACTTTACATACAAACAATAGGTCAAGATTTAGGTTAACTAAAATTAAATTTTTGAGGGGGTTGTGGAGATTTGGAAATATTTCAAGTTGTTATTCATCGAAGACTGACATCAGTTGGAGGAACAAAGGAAACCTGGGAGCACTGGACAGCTGTTTCGTCCTAGTATGGGACTCCTCAGCACTGCGCACCCACGACCCCACCAGCAGGGATCGAACCCGCGACCTTCAGGTTCCGCGGCCAGCGCGTTACCATTGAGCCACCGGGTCAGAATCCAATGCTCCATATTTCCAACTTCTGTTAGCTCACGATATAGCGCAAACCGCCACCCAGTGTCATCGTTGAGTATCTGTCCTCACGGCCATCAGGTCGTGACCGGTGGAGTCAAAGCCTGATGGCCGTGAGGACAGATACTCAACGATGACACTGGGTGGCGGTTTGCGCTATATCGTGAGCTAACAGAAGTTGGAAATATGGAGCATTGGATTCTGACCCGGTGGCTCAATGGTAACGCGCTGGCCGCGGAACCTGAAGGTCGCGGGTTCGATCCCTGCTGGTGGGGTCGTGGGTGCGCAGTGCTGAGGAGTCCCATACTAGGACGAAACAGCTGTCCAGTGCTCCCAGGTTTCCTTTGTTCCTCCAACTGATGTCAGTCCTCGATGAATAACAATTTAACTAAAATTGATAGTTGAAAGCTGTAACTGGATGTTGCCTGAGCTTCAATGCTTTGTTAACATGGATAAGGTGCGGTTCTTATATAACTAAGTGGACGGTCATGATCACTAGTCTTTAGGGAAGAAACAACCATTACGTCTAAAAAACCAGCTCAACTAACATATTTCCTAGGGTCTGGAATATATGATGGCCCGAGACTAACCTCAAGTTGAAAAAAAAACTAGAGAAGCTGGTACATTTTGAGTCTGTGCTGCACTGATGGAACTTTCACCTCCGATAAATCCTAAAACAAAAACATTTTGTCTGCGTTCGACCTAAGAAGTGTCCACTAACCCTGACGTTTCAATTCAAGTCTGTTGATTGAGATGTCAAATGAAAGCAGGGTTTGGTAAAAAAAAAAGGTCACACTCGTACAGTATAAATGCGATGGTTTTCATTTAGTTCATTTATTAAATAATTTATTGTGATATTTAATAAACTAACTAAAATGAAGTATATTGATTTCGGGAACACTACCTAATCACAAACTTAGTCTATCAATGAGTAAAACTGAAAGAAAAAAGTACGTGCAATTATTTGCGTGCAAACGACAAGAAATTTATGTCATGTGAAGTGTACGATCTAGGGCTTGAGCCTGTTTATGTTCACACGTCAGTAGGCAAATGAAGTAAGAAGGGCAGACAACTGGATTGTTTTCCAGAGCTTGGTTCATTCTTTTCACCTTATCTTTCGAAAGTAGAGCAGTCACCAGCTTTTCACTGATAGTTATCTTTCATTTGTCTGCTTCGTCTTCGTGCAGTCAGGTTGTTGTCACGGGACCCAGTTAGGTATCTTGTCCCACGTTTGTTGTCGTTGTTCGGTAGGTAAATACAAATCATATATATATATATATATATATATATATATATATATATATATATATATATATATACATATATATATATATATACGTTTACAGCCACAGGGTGATACTACACTTTCACTTAAAAACCCAAAAACAAGATAAGTATGTAAATATTGCATCCTGTAAGTTCATTGTAAGTTGAATGCGACACTAGTCCGTTCGGGATGCTACATGTTCGGTAAAAATTACTGAAGTGTGCAAAGAAGATTCCCACCTACAAGTTCTCTTGGTCCAATAACTGCCGGCAACCAGTTGGGCTGACGAATTGACTTAGTCACTTAAAAATAAGTCCCATTTAGATAGATCGGCTTTCAACCTTTTGAAGTGCAATATCGATTCGGAAAGAAGGCATCCCTAACCATACCATTCGAAATCCTGGAGGTGAGTGAAGTTTTAGAATAAGCACACACAATCCCAGTGTAGTAAGATTTACCCGATGGATACCAAGTGACTTTAGAACCAAATCAGCAGATTATCGATGTCAGACATGAATATACACAACTAATCACAACGGAGTGAGGAGTAACATTCATGAGTGAAATATAGTTACTTACCTCAGATGGTAAACTAACCCGCCGTAATTCAAAGTCAATGCATGGAGTAGCATCCTCAAGATACACATGAACCGTCTTTCCATTTGGAGTCTTTAGAGGTGTGACGCTGCATTCATTGGGTAAAGTGTCCTGTGGACTCGATTTGTTCCTTGATAACATGCTAATCTTTCGGACGCGAAGAGAGAGGCCTTTATCTGAAGTTAAGATGAAATGAAATTGGTGTTCAACACCCAATGTCCTTATCTTTTCTACTGTTGGTCCTTTGAAAAGATCTGAAAAGTAAAGTCGTCTGATAAACACACAAACCTATTAACAGTGACTTTAGTGTCATGTGCTTTTTCTCTATGTTAAACAACTCCCCAGAAAATAATAACATAGGCTTTGCACCGTAAATTAGAGTTTTGTCCTATCAGAGCTCTTATTAATTGCATACAACTTACTTGGCAGTCAGATAACGGTTTGTACATTTTTATCCCCAGCTCGAACATATCTAGCAGTTCACCATCGTGCAACCTCCCGACAACAATATTGTGAGGTCTCTTCTTAGAATGCATGCCAACAACAAACATTGAGCAATCAAACTTTGTACACATTTTCTCCTGCAAGTAAGACAATGTGAAGAAAAACAACTCACAACAAATGACAAATCTTCGAAAGGCAATACTCTGTTTTTCCACTTCAGACGATAAACAAGAGGTTTTTTTAAGGCGCACTAACCAAACCGTAAATAGTTAAGCACAATAATTACCAGATCATTAAGAAACGTTGTAACTACTTCACTAGTATGACTACCTTTAATGACCAACGTGCACTTGTCGTTTTCCACTAATTTAGGAGCTTTACGCTCTAAAATTCGCTTTCCCTTATGGGTTTTAGGTTTTCTGAAAATATGTACAGCAATTCGCACACACCTAATGTCGGAAATCACCGCCATATTTAAATGGCTTGCGAGTTTGTAGTTAGGTAAACTTAATTTAACTAATGTTCTCCAACTTTCGAACGTTCTGCTGCCAACAGAAAGGATATAGCTACGCTATAATTGGAAACGTACATCTGGGTTAAAATGCGACAAGAACAATACTATGTGAGGAATATGCAGAATATTGTCACGCGAGTACTTAACACGAGGACCACCCAGACTATAAAGCAACGCTAACTCTGTACTCAGCGCCATTCAGCAAGGACTGAACAAGCCTTCAAAACGTCTGCAGTCAATCAAGCTTTTTTCGGCTGCGAAATGCAGAGAACTTGTAGTTCGGCCAATCAAATATCTGACTTCGAGTGGTAGAGCAGAAATCAGGTAGGTATTGACCTACTTGTTAGGTCTTGGTTCGAGTTTTTCTGTCTGCTCCTGCAGTGGATAGAAAAGTCTCTTCTGCTTTATTGTTTTAGCCGTTGTGAGGCAGATGTTTTGTGGGTCAGTAAATTGCAATCTGTATACCGATCGAGCAGCTACCGGTTGGTGGGACGATTAGGGGTCTGAATGGGAAGATAGCGAGAAAAAGTATGTGGGGATTATCCGAAAGGTAAAAGGTAGTGGCATGGGTCTAGTTGTTAGAGAAGGGTTAATAGATAATGAGGGTGAATCAAGAAGAGAGGTAGTGAGCGGCAGGCAAAAGGGAAGCGGATGTGAGCTAGTGAGGTTTTTTAACCCCTGAGTACGTCATTAGTAAACCATGTGAAGTGACATGACTGTCTTACCACCTTTTGAATGAGGTGCACTAATTACTAAAGCAACCTTAGCTGTCCTTTACTCTGCCTTTGGTTCCGACCAACAATGATGCTATTGTCACAGAAGACCATTATTCAAAAAAATACAGCTCACTGTCCAGAAATAATACGTTGCAGTCCAATGGGTGTTCTGGCACTAGTTAGAACTTTTTCCGGGGTAAGTGGTGGCATTCTCACCAGGTTTCCAGTCTTCACTTATAAGGATGATAGGCCAGTGGACCTGTGTTAATCGTTGCAGAAGATACCTCTGTGGCGATCCAGCTTCCCCTCGGAGGCGTTGACAGAAGATGCTGATGCTACTTGCTGAGGTAGAGTCCTAGTCGTTGACTACACGGTGGGAGAAATGCGGATCCACGCTAAGTCGATTTAACCGCCGTTTTTGAATTTTCACATGATCCCCTCGGAGACGTTCAGCCTTAGCAGGAGAGAGAGATGGGGCATATCAATACAGAAGTTATTATTGAGGATGCAGGGTGATAGTGTGAGTACACCACGCTTTCTGCGGTAAGACAGTGGGAATAGGTTTAGCCGATCTAGTCGTTCCTTATGTAGCAGATTCGAAGGGCCTGCCACGAGCCTAGCATCCATCCACCCTTTGAGCACGCCGAAGCACGTCAGTATCCTTTTTAGGCATGGACTGGCCCGCTGAATGTGGTGTTCCAAGTGAGATCTAACCCAGAATATTCTGGGCGTGTCCGGACCGAAACTATTGAAAGCTCTAGAGATGGAGGATAGGGCGTGGAAACCCCTTGGTGCATCTGCGTAACAGAGCGCCGAGGTTCATGAGTCATTACTTTTGATGTCACCCAAGTCTTTTAGTTCAAAGACTGTGAGTAGCGGTGCACCATCAAAGCAATACTGGGAACAATTGCTGTGACCAATGTGCATTTCTGCACTCTTAATGGAGTTAATTTCCAGGCTCAACCTACCAGATCACCCAAATCCGCTTAAAGCACATACCTACCAGCCACACTATGCGTGGTTTTCCAAACGTATACGTCATCGGGGGATAGCAGCGTCGAAAAGTTGAGCATTTCCGGTAAGACGTCAACTTATAATAATTAGATTAGTGAACCTGGGAGTGCTCCATGAGGAGCTCCACCCATCACGGTTTTCCACCAGGACACTATCCCATAAATCCTCACTATTTACCTTCTACCGTATAGACAGCTCCTAATGTAGGCTTGCAATGCAGCAGCAAACCCGAAGGAGGAGAGTCCTCCCAGTATTTCACGTGAGACGCTATCGAATGCCCGACTGAAGTCTATAAATACGGCGTCTGTTGTCAGCTTGCAGTCATGGGCTACATCCCGTTCCCCTCTTGTGGCGGAGACTTCTGTTGAACAGGACTGTATCGTACGAGAACCATGTTGCGTTAGCGCCGAAAGATCATTTGGTTCAGTGTGTTTAAGTGAATTTTCACGAATTACTCGAATGACCCCCAGTTGGACCCACAGGGTGTCAGTTAGCCACCAGCTGGCGACTACCGGCCTTAAAACCTCAGCTAATTATAACATCTCAGTCTCTAGAATGGGATGCTCGGGACAGGATCACATTGAAAAGATCGGCGACTGGCTCGGCAGCAATGTCCGCCAGCGAAGGTAGCAGTCTGGGCCGCAACTCATTGGGACCCTGCGGATTTTCCAAGCTTGTGATTAATAAGTAGCTGTAAGATGGTTTCCTTCGGTATTAACACTGTACCTAATGGTGGGGTAGTGCTGACACTACTGCTGAACACTTCACCGTCATGATCTACGGAGTAGACTTCACTAAAGTAATCCCTCAGGCGTTCAGCTTTGGACGGACTAGATTCCCAAACTATCTTACTTTCCATCCGGCACCTGAGAGGGACTTCTGCATTTGCTTTTGGCTCTATTTCTAATGGGTGCGAACCATCTTTTAGGACAGTTTTGATGATCATTTACCGGTCGTTTCTCATAGGATACTCGAGACTGTGGGATCGAAGTTTTGTAAAGAATACACACCTCACGGCAACCAGTTTTAAATGTTTCTAGTCTATAAATAAGTTCCGTAAACGCTTCCTCTACCCTTATAGCTTCAGTATGTCCTTGTTAAACACCAAGATTGATATGGGGATCTCCATGGAGTCGACAGTTGAATAAATGGCATCGATACTTCTACGAGTGGAGTTCTCGACCCATTCCAGGTCTCGATTTGATGAGTCAGTCCTTGTCCGTAGTGGAACCCTTATCTACCTGTCCAATCCTTTATACTTGAAACGTCTGTGCACCACACGTTAGAGCTGTGCGAAGCAAAGTCGTAAGCAAATCATACCCTCAGAAACCGAAAATTAACACCACATGAACTCCGCTGCCTAAGAGAGGGAAGTACCACGAATCTATAGTGTCTTCACATTGGTGGGTTAAGGATATAGTAAGGATGACTTGTGTTCAGAATCATGTCGCGTTGCACAAGTTAGGTTTAGAACTAAATCAGATTCTAAAACAGCTAAAAGTAAATCGTTTTCGAAGGAACTGCCACGGGCAAAGACTGTTAGCTCCGTCAAGTTGATGTGTGGAGCATCCGTATCACCAGCAATTAGGCATCTGTTACTTCTAACTTGCTTGGACATAGGAGCTAACTCGAAGTCATTCGCAAGATGGGACAGACCACGGTTAATTGCCTCAACTGTACAGAAACCTTGCTTGGACTTTAGCTCACAACTGACCACTTCGTAGGTGCCGTATTCATGTGCTTCGGAAGTGCCGTTACTTAAACATGGTATAGGAAACTGTTTACAATTCTCAGATCCATATTTGAAGAGAGACTCAGACCTTCTAGAAGGAGTTCAGAAGAGGTTAGCCTGGTATATGAGGAACGACTGCAACAAATAAGCATGCTCCCACTCAGGTATTGTAGACAGATGAGAAACTTAATCAGCATTGTGGAGGCTGTATTAATTTTTTCACTTAACTTACATTAAAGAAAGTGTTTCCCCACGCCACCTCCTTCATTATATACATTTTTTATCAACGTGTGAAAAACCGGAGTTCGTTTGCTCGCGCAGACCGGTTTCCTAATAACAGATTTCTGCATTTTTTCCTCCCAAAAGCGAGAAAATATGGTGACGTGCTCTTGTTGCACACAATTTGCTCTTCCTGCCGACCCCAACGAGCTCCAATGGATTAGTTTCGGAAACCGGTTTACAGACACCGTCAAACCGATAGCTCCTAAAAGTCCGCGGAATGGCACTCGGTATTAAACAATTTACACAACAAGTTTTTGATGGGCACGAATTTTCATTCTTCTATCACACAGATGGGTTTCACCATTGGGAACAAAAGTGCGTAATGTTCGAATTTTTCATCGTGAACAGCCGACGTTGTTAGCCCATTTATCTAGCGATATAACCATCTATTCATTAGAGAGTTCTTCAGTTTTTAGCTTAACCAGCCACAAAGGCCCATGTATACGATCTGGAGTATCAGTATGGATCCACAGTTATACAACCAAGGTGAATGTCCAAATCAATGTACTTCCACTTTACCGTGTTACGTTTAAAGGTGATGTAGATTAATGTCATCGGAAATACTTGTGGCAGTGTATGGAAACCGAGCTTGAAATGGACAATCGTCCGAACAGAAGTAGGCATATATAGACTTCAGGCATCTTTCGTATTAATGCAAGCAGCATCATTCGAGAAGTGTATGTGGTGCATGGTGGCTTCCATTTGAAAGGGTCACTTGATACAGATCACTAGTAAGAATTTAGTGTGGAGCTACTGTTTCTCATTATTCCACTGGATATGCTGAAATCACCAAGGACACCAAAATAACCCGAAACCAATATCAGCAGGGGGCCCCAATCCATAAAATGAACAGATCAGAGGAGTTCTCAAACTGTGTGTTTCTAACTGGGATCCAAAAAGTGGAAATATGAACGTTTTCTTTTCCAAAACGAGGTGTTGGGAGGCCCCAACTCTGTATACGACATCGTTATTAGTCTGAACATTTTTAAGTCATCGGTTTCACGCCATTTCGCACAGCATGCTCACCACCACCCGGATGACAATTCTTCCACTGCCTATTTCCCCACACGAGAATAACTGTCACTGATGAAATACCTCCTTATTGCTGTGAAATGCAACGCTTGAAGAGTGGGAAATGGTTGAACTTAGGTATTACTTTTACTATTATTACCATTATTCCTATCATTATTATCATCATTATTATGTGGACGCTGAATGCTCTGTCAAATAGCAGAGGTGGATCTGCCGTGGTCGGTAAAGCTATGAAAAATGAACCGATGTTAGAGCGGAAGTTTTCTGGTGAAACCTCGAAGTATATGAATGGGTCAAGCATGCCTTGCATCTGGCGCGCAAACATTGGATATTACTCACTTTGATACAATCTGCTGGTAATCAGAAAAATGAATGAAAATTATCCAATTGATAAACGCTGTCTATCCGCTAAAAAAGT